GCCTCTTCTTCCATCTCCTGTTACAAAATCACGCCGCAGTACACGCCCACTCGATAGGAGACGCGAAGGTATTAAACTGATAAAAAATAGTAAGTACTAAACACACCACTCCTATCTGGTGTCACATTAGCTTGACCGCGCAGTGCCCCAAATTTGCAGTAAGAGGACCGACCAAGCCTCTTCTTCCATCTCCCTGTTATAAAAATCAATGCCGTGTACACGTCCACTGATAGGAGACGCGGAAGGTATTAAACTGATCAGAACAATACTAAACACACCACTCCTATCTGGTGGCACATTAGTTTGACCGCGCAGTGCCCCAAATTTGAATTAAGAGGACCGACCAAGCATCTTCTTCCATCTCCCTGTTACAGAAATCACTGCCATATCCATACAAATTGTACAGAATGTCCAGGATAGTTTTCCAGGGACAAATGTTGTCGCCTGTTGAACGAGGTGACCTTGCTCGGGTCCCAGGTGTACGGTTCCTAAAATGGCTGCCATATACACGTCCACTGATAGGAGACGCTGAAGGTATTAAACTGATCAGAACAATACTAAACACACCACAAATAAGGTTTCTCTCCTGTATGGCTCCTCAAATGATGCTTAAGATTAGAAGCGGCTGAAAAGCATTTCTCACACTCCGAACAAAAATATATTTTTTTAACATTCTCTCCACTTTGAACGAAATGACGTTTGGGAAGAGATTAACATAATTAAACACAGGCAGTAAAAATACAGTTTTTAGCCATACCCTGTAACTTTAAAACTACACATCCCATCTTCATAATTACATATTTGGAATCAGCACACTTAAAACATAAACATAACCAAAAATCAGCCAAATCCATCCAGGGGTTAAAAAGTTAGCTGGAGGTCCCTTTATGACCGACCGGCAAGCACATTTTCCTGCCCAAAACAGTTCCATAGATTTGGGCTGTGAGGTCGGTCTATTTCAGGCTGAAAAAACGACTAAGTCCCATCGCGAATGGGACTTAGTCTCTGCAGCTGAAATAATTTCCCATTTACTGAACCAAGTGGGAAATAGCAAGGCAGGCACAAAGGGTTTGCACCAGGTCTGGGGACACAGGGGACACCGTCTTAAAGGGGCCGTGTCCCCAACAAGTCTGGGGACACGGCCTTAAAGGGGCAGTGTCCCAATCTTCCTGATGTCCCAAAAAAGGTGTTTAAAGGGCCAGCACCAGTCACATAAAGAGTCCATAAGCCCCAATATGCCCACCGACAGTCTTAAAGGGCCATACACACCAAATAAAAGTGCATACATTTTCACAATCTCCCAGGGGCCATAGTCATGCGGGAGGAGGCTGGCAAATAGGCTTCTCCACAACCCAGGGAAGCAGGGCAATTTGCCATTTAAAGGGCCCGTTACAAATAGCAGTTTGTAACAAGGTGTCAATCCATATCTGCCAAGTGACCCGATGTAGGGGGACCAGTCCCTATTCTGCTCTGTGTCAGTGTGTATCAGGGTCCTTAGGACAGGTGTCAATCCATATCTGCCAAGTGACCCTATGTAGGAGGAACAGTCCCTATTCTGCTCTGTGTCAGTGTGTATCAGGGATCCTTAGGACAGGTGTCAATCCATATCTGCCAAGTGACCCTATGTAGGGGGACCAGTCTCTATTCTGCTCTGTGTCCGTGTGCATCAGGGGCTCTGAGGACAGGTGTCAATCCATATGTCAAGGTGTCAATATGTCATATGTCAGGTGTCAATCCATATTGATTGTGATTTAGGAATGTTAGGTGATTTCTGCCCTTTATGGATTAAAACCAGACTCTGTATCAACTGTGTAATTTTCCATGGGAGTTTTGCCATGGATCCCCCTCCGGCATGCCACAGTCCAGGTGTTAGTCCCCTTGAAACAACTTTTCCATCCCTATTGTGGCCAGAAAGAGTCCCTGTGTGTTTTAAAATTCGCCTCCCCATTGAAGTCAATGGCGTTTCGGGCGGTTCGCCGGTTCGCGAACATTTGCGGAAGTTCGCGTTCGCCGTTCGCGAACCTAAAATTTCGGGTTCGCGACATCACTATCTGTGTGTGATTTGGAAGCTGTTATAACTTGCTTAGCCTCTTTCTGCCTAATCTTATAGATCATTTTGTCTTCCTCACGCGGAGTACCACAGTGGTTTCTTGAATTTATTGCTTTTACTGACAAGCCTAATGCAATTTTCTAAAAAACAAAGGGGGGAAGAGTCTGTGCTAACTGACAAATGGAAGAGCAGCAACCCTAAAAAAGGGAATCCCTCAAAAAAAAGGGAAACCCTTGAAAAACAGGAACAGACAAAGGAGTTAAGAGCTGCACTTAAAAACAATAAAAATGTATTGTTTTTAAGTGCAGCCCTTAACTCCTTTGTCTAATGCAATTTTCTGTTGCCTTCAGTAGTGCAACTTTTAAATAATCCCATTTCTCTTGGACTCAATTTAAATTGCCTCAGTCTGATAATGACTCCTCTACACATATTCTAATTTTAAAAAGTCTGTTTTTCTAAAGTCTAAAACTTTTGTTTTTGTGTGGTGTGACTCAGTCACTGTTCTTATATTAAACCACACTGACTGATGATCACCGGATTCTAAACTTTCACCTACAGTAATATCTGATACCAAATCTCCATTTGTTAACACTAAATCTAGTATGGCCTGTTTACGAGTTAGCTCCTCAACGACTTGTTTTAGAGACAATCCCAGTAGGGAGTTTAGGATATGTCCTGGCACAAGCAGCTATTTTGGTTTTCCAATTTACATCAGGAAGATTAAAGTCACCCATGATGATAACTTCCTCTTCATTGTCATTTTAGCTATTTCCTCAACTAGTAGATTATCTAACTCTTCAATTTGTCCTGGGGGCCTATAAATCACACCTACATGAGTTACTGTGTGATTACCAAATTCTAACGTAACCCAAACGGACTCTATGTTCGCCTCACTAACTTTTATTATGCTAGATTTTATACTATCCTTCACATACAGGGCCACTCCTCCCCCTTTCATGCCTTCACTATCTTTTCTATATAATGAGTACCCTGGTATTGCCATGTCCCAGTCATTTTTCTCATTATACCATGTCTCAGTAACAGCGACTAAATCTACACTATCAGTTGCCATTATTGCCACAAGTTCATGGATCTTATTCCCTAAACTGCGAGCATTTGTAGACATGACTCTAAGCTTATCATTTTTTAACACACTTGCTACAAGCACCTTCTGTCCTTGTTTTGGGGGACAATTGGATTGATGTTTTATCACCCATTTCCCCCCCCGCATTCACCAAGCCACAAATTAAAGTCCCTAATACGCATCCGCCTGTCGTTCTGAGTGTTATGCACAGGCAGAACTTCAGAGAATGACAGTGTGGAAGCAATCTGCTGTAAATCATTGGCAAAAATACTAAAAACTTCCTTAACCTCTGAAACCTCATTGCAAGCCAAGTCATTTGTCCCTAGATGGACAAGTACATCCAATTCCCCTTCCTGCTTTGCTCGCTTAACAATATTACAAATACGTCTCCTGTCTCTGTGAGCAGTAGCTCCTGGAAGACACCTCACAAGACCACCATTGTCCATCTCCACACCTCTTATGATGGAATCCCTCAATAACAACTGCTTTCTATTAGGCCTCACCATAGTCTCCAAGCCGGTCTCCACAACTCCACTAGCCTCAGTGCCTCTCTCCACAACACCACTAGCCTCAGTGCCTACATACAGTAAATGCTGTGAATTCATATATTTCTTATATACAGGTATTTAAAAATTATCATTGCAAAGTTTATCAATTTCTGAAATGCTAATGTAGTGCTAACAGTGAAATGGTAGTGTCCATAGAGTCCTTCTCCCCTCCCAACCTGTAAGAACGCTAGTACCCGTTGAAACTTACTTTAATGGAGGGGTGAGCTATCATTTTCAGCACACTTGCAGATAATACATGTGTTACCAGTGGCTTCTGTCAGACAAATGCCTGGTAATCATTCCTGGAGTTAAATGAGGGTGAGTGTGAATTTGGACTAAATTTTGTTTTGCAAAGTACATTAAAGTCAAAATGTTTATACATGAATATGGAAGATGTTGTTCTCCTAAACCCTTTATACAAAATAAAAAGGCCCAAGTTATCCCCTATTTACCGGTCCCTTTATGCAAAATAAAATAGACTGGTTTTACCCAGGAGATGCCAAGTCACCTGGACCAATAATATAAAATAAAATATATATATATATAAAATAAAATTTAAATATACACCTAACTAGCTGAGAGGTGAGACTTGTCCATCAAAGCTTAGTGATTGGTTGGCTTCCAAACCAACCCAATCAATATGTTCTGACTCTTCATTCAAAGTCTGTAAAGGTCTTTCCCACCTTGAATGCTTAATTGGCTTGGAGCACTCGATGACGAGTCAAACACTTTTTATGACAAAGAGATGAGCTGTGCTCAGAAAAAATTAGTCGAGTCTCTTCTAACTTTACTAATATCTCAATAAAGATGATCTACATTTGTGTAATCTTGAAAAGAACAATTAATTAAAAAAATGTCCTAATGCATAAAAATGCAAACAAAAACATTACCAACCATATGCTGGACATTTAATGTTACACAATGTTCACCTAGTGATATATTTCAGGCCATAGTAAATACTTGACGAAGATTTTTGCCTAGCTAGTGACACATTGGCACTCACGCAAACTTCTTTATTTTTTTTCTGCATGACAAAGACAACATATTGGTAGTGATGACATTGCTGATTAACGTGAAGAAAGGATCGACATATCAGCATAAACATGATGAGTGACCTGCACATTTTTATTTATTTTTTGTAAAGTAGTAAAATCATGAGTGGAAGAACACATATATCACTAGATATAGCCTAGAACTGTAGAGAAATGCATGGCACTTATATAAGAACCAATGGGACTAAATAGTCACAACTGCGGGCACATTGCAAAATAGGGTCAGGATTGAACCAGCCACGCTGCAGGCTAGGTATGTAGACTGATCAGCCGATGCCCAATGAAGGGGAGTACCTTCCTCTGCAGTCATCATCATCCTGGATAGGGTCCCTCCAGTCAGCCCTTGCACGCAAGTAGTATAGTAGCCTCTTCCACTGGATGACACGATTCGTAGGAAGGGCCTGCATCTGCAGTGTGTGGGTTTTGAGCAGTGCTGTGAGAGTGTGAGTGCCAGGTATCGGGATGTGCAGCAGCAAGCAGCAGGCTTAATGCTGCTAGATGAGGACTGCTGGCACAGGCACCTTTTGTGATGTCTCTTCCGTGGCACCTGTCCATGAACACATGGGGAGGCACGCTCAGGCGGTGCTTACCAGAGTTATGGATCCAGAGAGTGCGATTCGGCCTGCACGCATAGAGGTAAGTCCCTGTTCGCTTAGCTTAACCCGAAAGGTCACACAGATGCGGTAAATATTTAGGAGTAGTGAGTCCAGCAGTAAAGAAGACCACAGGAGAGTATCTCTTGCTGTAGGGCCCATCAGGGTAGCCATCTTGTGAACCAGGCCACAACCCTCCGATTCAGCTGTGGGCTGCATTTCGACATTACACCTATAGTACACCATTGGGGACCGGGATATACCCTGCATGTGCTAAGGAGGGGCAGGGCCCTAAGCACGCAATCCTCAATTCAAGGCTGAGGATCGGCTGACTCTCCCTCCTTAAGTGTGACTGAAGGTCTGAACAAGGCTGGTTTCTCCAGCTACCAGTAACTTTGTTACATAGAAGCTGCAGGGTACTCCCCAGTAGTGCATGCACAATTATTGCCAGAAATTCTATCGGGTTTTAACCTGCGGAAGATAATTTATTGTCGGAGCTCCAGCACGATGCGACAGTCCTTGTCAGCTCTCAGGCACCACCCCCACCCCCCTTTCTGCCACTTAATTACCAATTTATAGTTGTTAAAAGTTTTTTTGTTTGTTTTTTTTGTTAACTATTTGTACAAAGAAATTATTTTCTTTGGGATGAGTTTGTATTTATTCAGTAAAAAAGAGGAGAAAAAAGTCTTCCTAGCTGCCATACACCCATATTAGTAGTCAGACAATGAGACAGATTTGATTAGCTTCAGTGCCACTGTTGGTTTTGCAATTCAACCAAGATTCTGGCATTTGGCTGTTTGGAAATCAGTAATTCTTCTGGTCATCCTATCCACCTGATTTTGGCTGAAAGAATCTCCTATATAGATGTCGTGAACTGCTCGCCGAACTGTTCGCGAACTGTCCGCCGGCGAACAATAGCGTGTTCGCGTTGGGCGAACATATGCGATTTCCGGTCCGCCCCCTATTCGTCATCATTGAGTACACTTTGACCTGGAACCTCACAGTCGCCGTCGGACAGTTCGCGAACAGTTCGGCGAGCAGTTCGCGACATCTCTAATCTCCAAGTCTATTTTTCATTTAAATCAATCAATGTACAAAAGAAAACTAGGCGCAGACAACAATGATTGCATATTAGGTTGATCCCAGCCAAAAGTGATCTTGAATGATGGTTAACTCCCACAACACAAGAAATACAGCTATCCGAGATGATCGTTTTGACCTTGGTAGATGTTGCCTTTGACATGTACCTAGGTACAATCATCAAGGGATCCACATTACCTTTTTATCTTTGGAAGACCCTAGACACTTAAATTTTAAAACAAGTCAAAACAGAGTGCAAGATAAATCTGGCAACAGACAAAATCAATAAAATTGCCTTTGGGTGGGTTCAACTCAGTACTCAAGCTGGTTAAAGCTCATCTTGTGCCATAAAAGACATAACCTAAAGCCTTTTTATATCAGACTGATTGCACACAACTTTACTATATATGTATTTTTCATTAATCTTCAGCAAATTTGTTCAACTATTTGTCTATACATTTTATTTTTTGTGATTTTTTTTTTTTTTTACATATTAATCTTTGTTCCAAAAGACAAAAACAATGGGGGAACTTCTAGACAATTGGCTATGAAATGTGCTTTACTTCCCCAAGGAGAACAAAGCCAAACATGAACATTATTTAGGTCAGTCAGTCTGTAATTCTTCAGCTTGAAAATGAAAGAGAAATGTTATTACAGTAGATGATTATGATAAGATATTGTGGAAGGAAACATTAAAATAGCAACTACTGAAAGTTACTGTTCCAAAGTAAATATAATGTAAGAACAGACTTAGAAACATAATTAATCATTTAAATTGATACTTACACCTCTCTCCTAAATCTGTTCTAGCTTATTTCACTTATCCTTCATAAAATACCTCTACAGAGATATAGACTTACTCACACATGTGAACAGAGTGCAGATTTTATTGCACCATAAGATCAATGAACATTAGTATTGAATTCATTGTTAGTCTGTTGTACGTTATTTATTTTATTCTTATATTTGCATTCAGTATATTCAACTTGTTATCACTGTGCCATAAGTAGCCTGGGAATTATTCTTTTTAATAGAATGATCTCTCCACTTAGAATGGATATAAGAATTGGTCTAATGACACAGCCAAATGTTGTTCAGTGAACTCCTTAAATGGACACTAAGCAACATAACCACTCTCTCATTGAAGTAGCTATGGTGCCTGGAGATTGCAAACACTAATTCTTGCTGAGCAATCTTACTCGCCATCCAGTCCCTACCACCAGCCACCCCATGCGCCACATTAAATTAAAGGTAAGAATTCTAAATCTATGTTAATATACCATTAACAACCCATTATATTATATAGATATAATATTAAATAGATTGTTTTATCATACCTTTTATATTCTTAGTTTTAAACAATATTTTCTCCTATTTTACCACTTTGTCTCAATGCCTACTGTCCCTTTAAATTGTAAGTTTATTAGTCTTCTTCCATAGAAATTGGAAGTATTAGATTAAAGCCCATTTCCAGGGTTCTCTACTGATTTTTATTTCAATACATAATTACAAATCCCTCTATATGTAGACAAAGCTATAATTAATCACTATAATTTTTTAAGAGAATTCAATAAGATTTATTTTTTTTAATTATTCATTCTAGGGTAGAATTTAGAATAGAGTTTAGATTAGAGTTCATCACATATATCCAAACATTGGAAAGTGTGGAATCTGGATGGAAGGTGGACCAACCCTCCTGGGCATCACCAGTGAAGAGACAGGTTCTCAACGCTAAATGGGCATGTCAGTCTGGCACCAAGCACAACATTCTGACAGACAGCCTCTGGCTGGCCCCAACATAGACAACAATGCACATAGCTCAGTGCTCCCTGGAACAAATCCCTGATGTGCCCGCATGCAAGACACCAGAGAACAAAATCAGGGCAGTAGGATGAGATACTAATATAACAGTCCCACAAAAATCAGGACATCTAGAAGGCCTGTTATTATTATGAAGTACTAATGAGAGGTCATGGTTTATTTGAGTTCAAACAAATATATCAGAGTTAAATGGGGCCAAATCACAGTTGGATAATGTATTGAGGTTTAATTGAAGATCGTTTTACGGAGACGATATGTGTGTGGGGGGGTTATTTTGTTTGAATTTTCTGAAGAGCATTGTGACTGTTTTTCAAGATTTAGAAACAGGTTGTTAATAAAAAAAAATAAAAAAATACTTTTATCACCTCACAGAAATCCTGCTGTAAATCTGCCTCATATTGCGATATGCAATACCCAAGTATAGAACCTTGTGAAACTCCACGCATAATTTTGGAAACATTGTTGTGAATACATACATTTTAGGTCCTGTCTGATAAATTAAAAACTTAAAGGTACACTAGAGTCACTAGAACAACTACAGCTTATTGTACTTGTTCTGGTGAGTACATTCATTCCCTTCAGGCTTTTTGCAATAAACACTGTCTTTTTTTCAGAAAAAAAAAGCAGTTTTTACATTACAGCCTAGGGATACTACCATAGCCACTCCTCAGATGCCTGCTAGAAGTGCTTTCTGGGGCAGCACGGCTGCTCAGCCAGATAAAAAGTTTTTAAAAAATCAACACACATCATTTAAAAAAAAATACCATTGTGAATCATTAAATATAATAAACTTTTTAAAACTGATAAGTGCAAATTTTCCATGGTAATAGGCTGTAAAGAAAATATAAATATAGGCCAGCCTTTATAATCTTACAAGGTTTTAGTTAGTCATTTGTGAGTTTGTGTGAATCGTGCCATTTTCCAAGTAAGATATATTATATTTTTATTGTTATTATTGCCATTTATATAGCGCCAACAGATTCCATTGCACTTTACAATATTAATATGACAGGACAATAAATAAGTTTTGCATAAGGATGCCATTGGGTAGACGAGGGGTGGACTATATCTCCTATAATTTTTTTACAGGCATAATGCAGAGCATCAGGGGAGATGTTGTCCACATTATCTGTAGTGCCGAAGGTTTCCTATGTCTGCGTTAGACTATTACTGATGCACTGAGGTTTACCAGCATTACTGGTTTGCTGGTAACAGGTTTAGCTAAGTCGGGATCTCAGTTAGAGATACATGAGATTATCTTGCAATCAGGCACTTGCTTGTAGATCCAGAGCATTTTTAAAGGTTCTTCCTCTTTTCATATCATGGTAAATGGAAAAGAACTTGGGGTGTTATACATGGTTTTAATCTTGCTAATTAATAATTTATATATATGGTTTTAATTTTTCCTGATTTTCTTATTTCAAAGGTGGATGTGAAGAAAAAGGGCTGCTTCAATTAGCAAGACATGTTGTGAAATGAGTAGGTGCTGTACCAACATGGGTAAGGAGTAGCTAAAATAGGGGTAGGTTTAAAAACAGGAGAATGGGCCAGTGTAGGGTTCCGATTTTCAACCAGAAGCAAAAAAAGGATATAATTTTAAACTAATACTGGGCTTTAAGATTTCTGATGACAGCCTTGTTAAATCCCGTTAGATCATTAGTGTCAATAAGTGGTAATGACTAGAGCTGAGCTGACACCTGGATGTTCGGGTCCGGTGGGTTCGGCTGAACTTTGAAAAAAAGTCTGGGTTCGGGCTTGAACCTGACCCCGAACTTGACCCCGAACCCGAACCCCATTGAAGTCAATGGGAACCCAAACTTTTGGCCACAAAAATTGCTCTGAAAAACTTGTGAAAAGGGCTAGAGGGCTGCAAAAGGAAGTAAAATGGGGATAAGAGTAGGACAAGTGTCCTGCAAACAAATGTGGATAGGGAAATCACTTAAAATAACATAAAATAAGAAGCCGCTTAGTAGATAACTTCCTAATTCAC